TCTGGGTCCACGGGGGCAGAGGTTATGAACTTCCGGCCAATACACACACAGACAAACCAATAGACACACTTAGCGACACACTTATATACAGTAGAATCTTTTCTTTATAGAGAGATCATTAGTTGAGAATTCCAGACTACTGGCTGTCGGCTAGCTTTTGTCACAAATGATATCGACCAAAGAGGATTCTTCATTGTATCAGAAACCTCGCTGGGTAGGGGACGCAATCTAATAGCAAGAAACGAAGAGTAGTCTCGTCTGCTTATCTTAATGCCTCTGATGGGTCCCTCACTGCATTTTCACTCACTTTTGCCACCCTACTCTACTTCCGGTTTTTATAAAATGAAATTTACTGAATAGTCAATAGTCAAAGCCACATCAAGTCAAGCACATCGTAAACACCGAGGATCAGCATTTTGATTGGTAGGTGGCTTCTATTAGGCCGCTGATCTTCTCTTTTCAATTATTATCGGCTCCTGTCACTTAGTACCTACGATCCAGTCATATCCTACATCACTTATTCCAATGCCGAGGTTCCACTGTTAATAAGAAAAGCTGTAGTCCTACCACAGTTGAACGCTTTAGGTCTACGGGGACAGGAGCTGTGAGTTCCCGCTCATCCATTAATTTCGCACACACCCGCCCCTTGTAGGAGGAGTCTGGTCCTGCTGCCTGCCATGAATGTTTCTATCCTGCCCTCCGTACTCCCACAAAGTTAGAACTCTCTAGGTTCACGAGAACAGGAGGTATAGTTTTTCGGTCAAACACACACACCAACACAATCCAATAAACACCCTCAGCGAATTATACAGGGTACGACATAAATATGCTAACAATTTTTCGTAAGTTCCTTGTTTGGAGGGTCTCTCCGAATCTGCACCTCCCCTTATGTTTATGGTATGCCTTAGCCTAAATATCCACTTTGGTATTCTCAGTTCGTCAGATTTCGAGAAACGGTGGAGCCTCGCAGACAACCTCCAATCTTTCCGTCTTTGCGCGCATTTGGTGAGTCCTTTTCCAGGTTCGTTCCTCGTTTCAACATTCCCCTCATGACAGTCTCTTGAATCGCGTTGCGTAGGCAGGTCAACAGCAAACCTCAACACGGCCGTCTTGCCTCACATACGACCTCTTTTCCGAGTACAATTGCTTGGGAAGGAGAACGCTGCGGAATTTGCAGGAACACAAGAAAAGTGGCTGCTGATTTATTTGTATGTTCTAATCCAATGGGAAGAGTCTATCCGGAGTAAATACAATTGTATCTTAATAAGATTCGTAAGCCTTATAAGCTTTTTGACGAGAAGAAGTTGAAGTGAAAAACAAATGCCGTCGCTACTCGTGTGCGGCACGCGCTTCGACATACTTTTTTCTGACTGAAGGTCGTTCAGCGTGAAAAGAAAATGTTGAGATCCCAAAGTATACGTATATTTCACACTACGAGTGCTGAAGCCGCTGAGAAGAGTCAGATCGCCTCCAAGGTCATTGTTCCTCTGTCACGATAGTTTGAGCTAGAATCTCTACCATCAGAGCAATATCGAAAAGAACGAGACTGGTGCTGAAGAAATGCTCGCGACCACATCCCACCTTCCAAACCTTCTACGAATTTTCCGGACCACAATGTGATGGATCAGTGGATATAGTCCATACCGAAGAGAAAAACCTGCGCTTCAAAATGCACCACTCATGCTGTGTTCTGGCATAGGCCAGAACCCGCGGTCACCCCCGCTCCTTAGTAGCGGGGCTTAAGCACTTCACTTCTCTTGCTCACCACCCGCAACTAGGGTGTTTGATCGGTCGCTAATAAATATATACCACTGATCCTCGTGTTTATTTTGCTTGTTCGTTATCAGAGAGACAACAATCTCTCTGACTACTAAAAAGGCGCCACCCTTCCGCCTAGACACCACATGCTGCTCCTATGAAATCATTGTAGAAAGTCTAGGCTAGAGTTTCTCAAGAAACTCTGCGTGCCACCGTCGACGAGTAGCCGAAGCGTCTTCGAGCTATAATTACTACAGAAGACGGTTATATAAAATGACCGTGTATTCTTTTCGTAGATGCGATGCATAGTAAACAGCTCACATAAATTCACTATGTATCAATATGAAATGCTGTTTCTGTATCCAAATTATTTTGTCACAAAATTTTTGGCGCACCCCGTACATGGTAGGATATTATCATTTGTTCGGATATCTGCAGAATTCTTTTTATGCACTTAGAACAGTTTCTTGATCCCATACCTAGAGTCTTCTATGAAAGTGCGACAATGAAACTCCCAGGAACATGGTGGAACATTATTTAACAGAATATGGTATCCATTATTTGATAAAATGGATCTGTTCACTCAAAAATTTCTACTCTATGGTCGACCTCAAAATTGGCGGAAGCTTCCCGAACAACCCAATATTTTTAGTAAACTATGTGTATGCTCCTGAAGATACATACGCAGAGCGCACAAAGGAAGATTTCTCACTTAATGCAGAGAAATTCCTGTCTCCGGGTCTTTCATATTTCATGACCGGATTGAAAAAGCTACTTATCACTCAAGCAACAATGTCCAGAGTGCACAAATCAATGTTAACAAGAAGAAAACGTACTTCTGTGGGGCCATGGAACCTTCGATATTTCTTCGACTGTCACATCATTTGATATGCGAAGTTGTTCAGAATAGTAATAGCCAACAGGTCACACAATATGAAATTGGAAAGGAATGTCGCTCCTGAACTATACCGCTACTTATTTACAGCATTTGCATTTTACATACAATCTAACATACACATATACATAAGCATCTTCGCACCCATTCATTCTGTTCACAGCGTGGAAAAATGGAAGGAATTGGATTAGGATGGAGCAAGAAATTCGGAAGGTAAAAGAAAAAGAACACAACGAGTAGAAAGGTAGTGAAGAAATTTTCTGGAATTGAATTCAACTGATAAAAAAAATCGAAAAAGTGTAGAGAAGTTTGTTGCAACTGACTTTGACTGGCATTGTTCGACCGCCAAAGTTGGAATCGATATGCCTTCGAGCGGTTGCAATGGGACCTATCCATGGACCTCCAACTGATGACTTAATTGCATCGATACAGTCAAAAATGATGAAGATCAAGACTACTCTATAAACCCTCGGATGACGATTTTTCCGTCCATGTTTTCTAGGCCATAGGACGTGGGTTCGTTCCCAAATGGGGCATTTAGGATCTGTACCAAACCTTGCATGTATTATGCTTGCCTTTCAGTGAAAACTAGCGCATCGACCTAAAAAAGGGCTGTGATTTACAATCTTTCCCTTCGTTGTATGTGTATTAAAGCCAAGATGGTTCTGCACGAGGATCGTTTTATTCTCAACTTATGCAATCAAACATTGACTGCTCAAAACCTGCTCCATGTAGGAGTGTTTGCCTCTGTAAAATATTGAAGATCATCCATTTACCAAGATCTCCATCAAAAAATAAGAAACTACTTAAAATTAAGTAGGACATGTAGAAATAACAGGCAATAAGGATGGAACATGAGTGGGGCCAAGCGCNTTGGAGAATATTTTTTACCCAAGTCTCAGTCCATTTTCTGACTTCTCCATCCCACTTTCCTAGTTCAGTCGTAAAAGAACTTTACCCATGTCGATGACCTCCATACATATGTATTGGACAGGTTTCGGAGGATTTTTATGACCGCCGCCCACAAAAAATACGAATTTTCGAAATTTCCCGACCCTGTTCCTCTCCACCTGAGTTTTTTTACGCAGATTCTTCAGACACACTGTAAGCTAAAGGCTTCTCGAAATTCTTTCCACTCTTTATTGTCTACTTTCGTGACACTGATATCGAAGGCATAACTCTTCTACTGTGCTGAATCCACCATTTGGGATTTTTCTGCCAGACACCGTTATCGCTTTCTGTTTCTTATGTTTTTCACTGCCTTACATAGCGTTGTATTCCACAGCTGATATGGAATCTTGTATTAGGTGGTCTCCTGTATGCTGTGTCTCCTCTGTTGGCTGACTACGGTGTTTTCAGGTGTTCAATGAACCCATAAAACTCTTAATTCCAAAAATTCTAACTTTTTTGCCTTAAAGGGGTTCTACAGGGAACAATGCTAAGTAAGGGAATTCATACAATGGTAAATCAGGAAATTCATACAGAAACGTTGGAAATCTAAATCACCTTTTGCTATATCTCTATAGAACTTGAGACTACAAAGGTTTTTCTGGTATCAAGTTGTCAACGAAAACTAAAAATTATCAGTCAACAGAACATAGAACATTTCTTGGATGATGTCTCGAAAGTCACAGATTCGCTTCACCTGATTTTTTGTTCCTATTTATCACCGCTCAGATAGACTGAAAAACAGATTGTGTGTTTCTGTGGTGTTCTGTGAATGTCGAGTGTTCGTAATCAGCTGTATAAAAGCAATTTACATCACATTTCGTTACAGTTCGAGCACAATCCACCATGTTCCTTCCTTTTCTGGTAAGTACAAAACGTTTCGCTAACATACCGATGCGATCGCTATTACTGTTGCATTGATGGCAAGTTAGCGCGCGGTTGCTAAGCGGTCAAGCTCATGATTGAATGGCATGTTGTAGAATGAACCCAATTGATGTTATACTTGAGCAGCCCCTAGTGAATGAGTTATTCGTTATCACATAGGTCCAGATGAACGACAGGGCAGGAACTCTACTCTAACATCCACTTTAACAGTCATGGAGAGCGTCCAAACTCAAAGTTTGGAACAACAGACCTTCTTTTCATGACTAGATATACTCTATGTCATCCTTTTCACTGGAAGAAAGATTTCAGGCTTTTCTGCTCATTCACGAAGGAACTTCACAGAGTGGGTTGGCTTTCATTTCTAAATTACACTAATGTAGTCCCCTCGAGCTGTAGTCATACAGCTTCTGATAGGCTGACGAAAGAAAAACCTTCACGAGCAGATGCTCAAAGATCAACTTGAGCTTTGGATAGAGTTATTTCTTGATAAAGGACCGAGGTCTATACCTAGAAGATGAGATTGATCGTTTCAGCTTTTCAATCCATCCAACCGTTAATCAACGAATACAGAAAGCAAGTTGCTAATGGGCAGGCATGGAAACGCGGAGGAGTGTTACCATCGTCACTGAATATGTTCAAACTGGTAGGTACGATACTTACCAGAGATATCAGAGAGTTACAGTACCATACAGTATCCCTGGGTGAACCTCCCGTAGCATCGATACCGATCTGAAATGTTAGTTTATTTTGCTTCTCTGCACATCATTACATCTACAAAACTATTTCAAGAAATATGTAGCTGATGGATAATGCTAAGTACGCTCTCCCAGAAACTTCACTGGTAGTTTCAGATGGCAAAAACCAGTCTGATCACAGTTGACTTCGCGGCCAATACTTTCCGCGTTTCACGGCTCGGATGACCTATCCATGTGAACCTTCACATGCATGACATACATATTTTCTTTCATTTTCTTTGTCCCAGAAAGAGATGTGTATTTCCCACATCATCGGAGGAGTGAATCCTTCGGCTGGTTTGGCTGCATGTATCCCCAGGGGGAAGGTTTTTGTGTCAACGTCAAAGTGTGATTTTTGTAGGAGTACAGTCCAGAATTGGAAGTGTATGCTTCAGTTAACACGGTTGGATGTAAATCGGCTAATTTCTATCCACCTGGAGGTTCACTGAATTATTACATGTGAGCCTATTTCTTTTCAAGGAGCTACGGTCAAAAGATTAGATTCTGCCTCGGTGTTCTTATACTGTACTTATAGGCTATATGGGTTGCCTGAAAAATATGACAACAACACAGTTGTACCTGTCGCATTGGCCACATGGATGGAACACGTACTACATAATGAAATTGATGACCAAGTTACCTATTCCGACACAAAGCTGGAAATGTTTGCAAATGTAAGATTTGGAATTATTTCTTTTTTCCTACTAACCACTGGAAATGGTGCCAGATCAGAGGTTATGAAAGGCAACATTCACGATGGAACTGAAAAAAATGGACTCAGTCCAAATTTCCTTACCAAGAGTTGGGGTCAAAAAGTGCCATCGTGCAAATGGAGGCAAAGTCATCAGGACCAGCGATATCGAGGGGCTTGAAGCGATCAATTTTAGCGTGTAATAGCTCTAACCTTTCCTGGAAAATGACAAGATTTCGTATTACCGTACACTTTTGAAGCGATAAGGGGGAAAGAGAAATTAAGTCAGATAAACATGAAGGTCACAGACAGAAGAAACTTCCGAGGCAGCTGAGAGAAGAACTAGTCCGAAAGTCGAGGAAGGAATATCTGCCGCAGGCAACGTATACCTTCTGCTCTCATGATTTACAGATGTTAGGACAAATATCGTCTACGGACTAACGAGATACAGCCCAAATCTGCAAACGTAAGTCCGTACATACATCTACACAAAAGGAAGAAAGTGAAAAGCAGCAATGAGTGAAAGCTAGAGAAGGAAGCAATGAAAGGAACTCAGAGAAATAGAGAGATCGGGCGCCATTTACCAAACAATCTGCGAATCCGGCTAGCAAAGATTTTCTGAGAATTCAAGAAGAGGATCTCGCCAATGCACACCTCGTGCTGCTTTACATCACCAGGCTTTCTATTTTTGAAATGGTTCGATAGAGACAGGAACACACCATAATTTATTGGAACCAGTTCTGTTGAATACGGTAGGTGGGTCAGAACATGCCATCGCATGCTTTGACGTCTGCTCTGAGTCTTCTTCGTAACATGTGGGCGAGCATCCCCGTGAAGAAAGTAGACTTTCCATTGTTCCTCGCTCGAGCTGTAGCGACGCGATCCACCAGAGTACAGTAGGCACCGGCGCTCCTTTCGAATGCCTCCGAACGTTGAGCATTGCTTTCTTAGGTTGGAGTTCTATTTTGGGAGTCAGAATTCCATACTTTGCGCGTCCTACTCACTCTCTATTCCTTGTTCCTAGTACGAATGGACACTTCTTGCCGCCGCGCTGGTAGTTAAGCCTTCTAGCCATGCGAAGGTATCGCGGAAAGTCATCGAGCTCAGGCATGCATATCTCTTCATTCAAAGCTGGTGGTCACCCTGCTTACGCCCAATCCGTATATCTGAATCTTTCCTGGGCGATGGAAGTGGGCAGCTACTGTGTCGTGATAGCTACTGAGCTACTCTTCCAACTGGCGGTTACTACATCTGGAATCCTCTTCGACCAGCTTCAGAAGGTGGTCGTCATTCAGCTAAACTGGCCTGTCAGATCGTGGCTTCTCTATCTAATCTAAGGGACCATTTTTGAACTTGTGGTACCAATTCTTGTTGTGCTGTAGGAGACAAGGGAGGGTCTCATCGCATCAACTATTCTCCTTGTCGCACAATTTGGATTGAAGTGTTCTCTGAACGTATAGAGCAAAGCAATCTATTTGCTTCAATTCGAGAGCGATTCTTTCAGCCGCAACAGTTGCGAAATGAGACGGCAGATTCGGTGTGAAGAGCGCATTGACCTGCACTTACACATGTTGCGCATTGAACGCTTCAAAGCAATCCCCGAAGTCTTTACAAAATGAAAACGAAATGTGCAAAGAATTCCCAGACGACTGAGCACTTACAAAAAAAAGTGCTTTTCAGCATTTCTTAGCAGAACACAATAGCCACTTTGAAAGAGTTTGCAAGCAATTGTAGGTCGAAACCACTGTAGGTTGCTTTCTGAAATGACCCAGTTGCTGACATACAAACATCACACGTTGTAGGATTACTCGATTTTATGGAACAAAGCGGAGTCGCTGTAGTGGTAAAAAAACGCATTCAATCCGCCACTACGATTCTGGGCGAATGCGAAGGCGCATCACCCAGACTGGAGTGATCAACGCTCAAAGACTTCTACCTTAGAATTTGTTCAATGAAGCAGTCGTAAGGTCGAAGTGAAAACTTTGAATCTTTGTTGTTTTCAAGAAAATGATGAGAAATGAGAAATGAAATGTTTTACTATTACCCAGTTCCCTAAAACTTCTCCTAACTGTACGCTTTATCGCTAGCAAATTGGTTTCAGTTATGGTTCTTGACAAATATTTTTTTCAGATGGTCTACTACAAAGCAACCCAGGTTGGATGCTCTTACAAAAAATGTTCAGATTCACAACCTCCACTTCATGTGGTTGCCTGCGTTTTCGACTCTGCGTGAGTTTCTTGGGAGGAATATATGCTTATAACATGCGCACATATGTCTCAAAAAAAGTTGTGACAATCAAAACGACTCATTTATATGTAGACGAGAGACTTTTGGGCACAAAATTCGCAAACATTTAAATTAAGTTTTTTGTGCGAGGGAACCCACCTAGGATGGAGGGTAGGATGGAATAAAGGTCTTACCTAAGCCTTGACACTGGCCTTAATGTTTGAAAATAACGTTTAGTGTATTTTTTGAGACCCCCTTGTTCACCTTGTTGTCGTGCAATGATTATCAGACTTTTTTCAGACCTCAGATGAATGAACAACTCTACAAGGTGTCTGACACAGAAAAAGGATGCAAGAGCGATAGCGATTGTAGCAATGTATTCAATGGAGCCGTCTGTGGACCTGAAGGCCTCTGCGGGTATGAAATTCTTATAATTTCTCACTTTTTCTTACAGTTCCCTTCTCAGATTACCCAACAACTTGAATACCATGTGTCTAACGTCTGTTGGCGTTGTCAACACAATAAACCGACTCGGTTGAATGGAACGCTTGATTGGCCAGGGCCAGGGTATTGAGCCGGAATTCGACCCACAAACCATGCAGGCAATAGTGCCCCTGCAAAGAACACTACAGAACCCCGGTCCACCACTTTGCAATTACTCTTCATTGAACAGTCATCAATCCAAAAATTTGTTCACGTTTGGTCCTTTATAGTAGATCTCAATTTTCAGGCGTTGATCGCGAGGCAACTACATCAGAGCAAGTGGTGTTACTTAGTATGAAGAAAACTGCAAGCATCTGATACGATTTAGTTCCCTCAGTAAATGTTTCAACCCTTTCAGTGTTGTTGTGACATTTTCCAAATTATCCTGCAAAATTCGCTTTCACCTTCACAGGTCCACTTCACGAAAAAAATCCTTGCATTATCCCCTTGAAGAATGCGCAGGATTACAAGAACTCCGAAGGAAGTGGGTATGAGCAAGAGGACTCAGCATTAAAGTCGATCATGTCTTTTTTACAGCAGGATCAGTTACTTCACAGCTGGAAAGTCTGCTTTCTTC